CTACCTCATCTTTTCCAAATCTCAGCATTAAACAATGATTGGAAGAGAAAAACTTCTCTTCCAAGGCTGATATGTAAAAGCATCTGTTTCTGTTCTTCACCTCCCTTCTCTCTTTACAACTTTCTTAAGTATTCCCCAAAAGTACCAGTTGAAAACATTAGAAACCACGGCAGTCCTATGAAACTAAAGGTTAAAAGTTACCTTGAAAAATTTGCAAGGCTACTAAAAATGTAGTGAAGTTTTAAGAAAGTCTGCCTTAAATAGAAGTTACACCCTGAGTACTTTCGGCAAGAGATGACAAGCACAGGGGATGGCAAAAATGGTCACATTCCAGACTTACTAATGGACGAAATATAAGAGGTAAGGGAAAGAAGGGAGTTAAGGATTAGAAAAATATCTGTTTTGAGGGAACTAAATGAATTATTCAATAACCTAGGAGAAATCCCAATAATACTTGAATAATCCAAACATTGATTTGTTGATAGTGAATTCATTTTTTAAAAAGCAATAATTATTTGCTTAAATTGTTATGCTATCCTACTTGGATGTAGGCATCGTGCAGAAACATACACTGTTATTGTACAAAGTAGGTAATCAATAGATACTTTTGAATGAAAAATTTGATTATAATAATTTGATTTGGACATAATGCCAAAATACCATGCCTACCTTTTTCTTTTCCTCCCCCTCTCTCTTAGTCTGGGATTGTCAGGTAAACAAAAAGCAAGCATGATGGTTTTCCTGCTTTTGTTGAGCACAGTCGTTTAGTAACCTACAGTTATAGCACATAATGCCAAAATACCATGCCTACCTTTTTCTTTTCCTCCCCCTCTCTCTTAGTCTGGGATTGTCAGGTAAACAAAGAGCAAGCATGATGGTTTTCCTGCTTTTGTTGAGCACAGTCGTTTAGTAACCTACAGTTATAGGCAATTATCAATCCTGTGCTTTAAAATTTCAGTTCAAAGTGTTATCTTACAAAAAGCAATTTAAAAAACATTACCAAAGCCAGACCATAAGGAGAGTGTTTCAAGGATAGAATATTGATTGGTAGGTAAAATGGCAGAATGTTTTCCAGGGAACAATGAATCAGCCTCTGACATGATTTTTGTTCCATGAATCTCCTTTTAAAGAATAGTGAACCACTTAAAGGGAGAATAAAACACTGAAAAAAAATGCTGCAGTTTATATATTCATTGTGTAATTCTGAATCTTTATTTAAATTTCTAACCTCTTTGCATCATTGCAAGGATACACCTCATAATAAAAATTAAAATATAATTCAGTTTTAAATGTCTGAAGCACTTTAACACAGATTATATATCATAATGAAGTAACACAAAGAAACTTTTTTAAACACAGGATTTATCTCTAAAGCTTACATGTGAGGCAGGCAGACAGACGTCTGACTTTAAAACAGATGGAACCCCAGAACATTTCCAGGATACATAAATCTGAATTTTGTGTTATATTTTATGCCTGAGACAGCTAACCAATCCAAACTGATGGCTAGGGTTTCTGTACTCATTATTTTTCCTATCTTCCCTTTCTAACGTCCAAATTCAATAATTCAGTGCTTCTTTCATAATCCTATGGATAAGCATTCCAGAATGATTTTTATAATTTCTTCTGTGATCTGTAATCATATGTGTGTGTATATACTGTCCATCATTTAATCAAGACATGGTTAACAATAAATAATACTAATTCATGGGATCCAACATATGTACTTTGACCAAAAAAAAAAAAAAAGAAAAGAAATAAAAATTACCACTAATAAAATGAGTTTATTTTATATTAAAGTTTTCAAAAAAATACACTTGTAAAATTACCCACATACCGGGCTTACAATAGCCTTTACAAACAGATTAAAATTTTGCAAAATTATTTTCTCTTAATTATTAAAGTACACAGATTTAAAAAGTGCTATAAGAGAAAATGTTAAGTCAGGGTCAATATTTGAAAAAGAGTTAATATACATTAAATCTGTAGATTACTACTAAAAGATTAAATCTTAAGAACACTTAGGGAAAAAAAGGTGTACTGTTCTTTCAGAAAGGTTTAATCTTAAATGATGTTTACTAAGAAATATACACTGCATACCACAATAACAATAATCTCAAAATATATGTAATTGCTTCACAAATGAATCAACCTACAGAGGAGAAAACACAGGAAATTGCTTTTAAATATATATTAACTCCTGAATTTTCCTGGTAAAAGATAATCAAATGAAAATTTAGTCCATTCCAATTAAAAGTACAAATTACTCATATTTAATATAAGATAGTACTAATATTTTTTTTAATATAAAAGTTCAAGCATTTTCCAAAAGCACAAAGTGTGTTATTCCCCTCCCAAAAAAGAAAGGAAACACATTTATCTAACCAATGTTTTACAGAAATTTGGAATATTTACATACTATATAATACTGTGGAAATCTTTGGTGGTGACGTATGGAATAAAATCCCTGAACACATGTTAATAATTTTGTTCCATCAATCAATGTAGTCAAGTATTTATAATTGGTAATGCTGTCAGGATCATTTTTTAGCCAAATACACACATATACAGTGAAGTGTGTGAAGGGGACCTTATGCAGGACCTACGTCGGTTTACATCATTAATGACTTAGCAATAAGGCTTATTTCTGGCTCCTTTTTATACCAGAAATAATATGGTAAACCAAAGAAAAGATCAATTCTTACTCCTAAACAAATTCTGAAAATATTTAAATATTAGTGAACAAGCTGAGTAAATGTACAGTAAAATAAAACACTGGCTACAATTTCTGGATAAACTTGAACAGCTACCAAAATAGTGCCCTAAATAGGTTTGTGCATCTAATGCTCGTGCCCCAAGTGGCATCAGGGGAAAAGCAAGGCACTGTGGTCTATGGATAAATTTATTGTTTTTAAAACCAGTAGACTTAAAAGCAGAGAAACAAAACAAAGACCTGCTCCATCTTAAAAGAAACAAAAATGTATAAGCTTATTATACAAAGTTCAAAGGAAAGGCCATGCTAAAATACACGTAAGGGAAAAGAACCAAAATTTTAAGAAATGTAAAAGGAGAGAAAATAAATAATAGAAGAGCAAAATGGCATCATTTGTTTATAAGGATGTAACAGTAAAAATATATTAGAGGAAGTGGTAGATGTGAAGGAGTACAGTTTTTTTTTTTTTTTTTTTTTTTTTCCTTTTTGAGACCGGCCGTGGAGTATTCATTTTAATTATTATTATGTGTTAACTACTGAAAAATGTAAATTTATTTCCAAGATAAAAAAACTTCAAGATAAGGCTTATACATTAGGTGACAGAGTACACTTAATATGAAATTTACTTATCTTTATTTTTAATACCATTTTACATATAAGTCACATAATTTACTTATTTTTGAGACCGGTTGCACTGCGTTCAGCCAGTGAGCGCACTGGTCATCCCTATATAGGATCCGAACCCGCAGCGGGAGCGCTGCTGCGCTCCCAGCGCCACGGGCTCGGCCCACTACAGTTAAACAGAAGGAACTGCATTACCTCTCTAGACCGGTGTTGTCTTTGATGAAGCATTTTGATTCTAGAATTGCAGAGGGATAAGTAATTCCTCCTTAGAACCGTGTATGAGTTTATTAAAGAATAGGTTTAATACTGAGATTAGACTTAAAGAAAGATAAAATGGTGCAAACTGGCCCCCACAGATGTTCTTGATACTAAGTCACTTACATGACCTTATTAAGCAATTTGAGATGACACTGCCTTTGAGTAGGAAAGACAAGCATGGTGTAGCATTTATATTGAGAAGTCTAGTACCAGGCAATATAAACAAAACTCTCTTTCAAGAGTTTACAATTAGAATTCATAGGAATTTTGAGCAGAAATTAGAGTCCTCCCAGAAACTAAGAGGCTAAAAATCAGTCAGGGAGAAGTAGATGGAGATAGTCATAGATTTAAACTTTGGGAGAAAAAAATTGAATAAATTTTTATCTGGCATTATCTATCAAGAATGCGAAATAATCTAGAAAATATTTTAAGACTAGTATCAAAAGACAGTGTATGAATTATACCAAGGTACTCCTGAGTAAACATTCTGTTCTGTCAATACTTTGCAGAGGTCCTGAATATACATTCCCAGTTGGCTTCATTTCTTCAAAGGTGGAAAGATCACAGACCTCACAAATCTCTCATTGTGTTTTCTTTTGGACAAACAAGTAGAACAGTCTAGTAAATTATCTGAACAAGTATAGTAAGTATAAATTTGATTATTGATAACCAAAACAACCACTAAAAATATATTGACTTAGGGTTTATAATGCATAATTATCAGTGCAACCTAAAAAGCTTCAGAGTTCAATAACTCAAAATCCCTTGGATTCCAAAAACGGTATTTTTCTAATAGCTTCTAATATGTAGGATTAATGATGTCTGTGTTTTGCACTGACATCCATCTTCAGGAAATTATCTCAGCCAGAAGAGATTCAAATGATTTTAGTCAACGCTGGATTTATAAACCAGCAGCACATATCAATGTCAAGCTTGTGAATGGATTGGCTGTTAGATAAAAAAACTACCATTTAAAAAAGCTGAAAATGTAACAGTGTTGACAAAAACATGCTAAGTCCAGCTATAATGTACAACTAAAAATGGAAAGCTGGTTAATGTTTAAAATAATTTATGTGTAAAGAAGATAATTAAAAATAGTTAAAACTGAACATGTAGCTATATTTTTATATTATTAACTCTAATGAATTTAACAAATGAAACCTACAGGAAAAGAGATGATGTAATTCAAGGCAAAAATTTGACATGTCAGAATATGACAAATGACAATAAAAAGAGTGTCAATAATATTTAAAGTAAATGTACAGTTGTAAAATAAGTAAACAATTTTCACTGTGCAAAACTAGTCAGGAACAAAAGCGCTATGTGGCTACCTGGTTTTCAAATATTTGTTTCAAAAACTTTCAGTTGATGGTGGAAAAACTAGAAAGTATTATAAAAGTAAAAATTTGAAGAATATATAAAACATACTTTATTATCTTACATTATGTCCTTGTTATATCACTGCCAGATCAGAGGTCTATTTAATTACTATACTCATGTGATAGATATAACATGAATGAAGGTAAATGCAATACAAAACCACAAAGGCTGGTGTATCCTGAACCATTAAGACTCTTTTCAAGTATACTGTGGGTTTGTGTTTCAAATTATATCCCAGGCACTCAATGTTGTTTATGAATTTGAAAACAGCACTATTTTCTAAGATTTCTGATATATATATTAATAAACATTGCACAACTACCTTTAGTAGTAAATATTTGGAAGCAACTGTTAAAGAAATAAAAACTATTTAAATTCATGAAAGTAAATCCTATCATTGCCACAATTTAAAGAATAATTTTAATGTGTAAATCCTGAATACATCATGTTAGACAATAAAGTCGATGCATTAGCATAATTTGTCTTGGGATATTTGAAGTGTAGATGACTAAAAATACACCTGTGGTCTCTTCTTCACTCTATATTTTAGTGACCCATACCGCACCTGAAGAGAGAAATGTGTTATTACTAAAAATTAGATGATCACTTTTTAAAATTAGATAGGATTTAATAGTTCATAGTAATTTTTTAAACTTTCTGATATAAAGAAGGAAGTATCCTGTAAGTATGTATAAGATGGTATTACTTATATATTCATTAAAACATAGTTGGTACTGTGGTGGATTTATGCTACAAATTATTATTACTGATAAATAAAAACATTAACCTTAATGATCTCAGGCCATTCAGAGTCCTCCACTGCTTTCTGGGCACAAAGACAATATATTACTATAGATATACTTTTACTGTTTAATCTTCATGTAGCATTGGTTGAAAGCAAACTTAAGTAGTTGATTTTGTTAGTTACTTTCCTTGTTTATGCATAGGGCTGGCATTGGGTATTCATAACCATGTTATTGGCTATGTGGGAACACCATTTTCTACTTACAGTGGAGGACTAGGAATTTACCATTGTCAAATTTTCCAGAGATCCTACTATATCTGATCTGAATAAAGAATTTAAATACAAACTGGTGCTCTACCATTCCAATCCCTCATTTATGGATCATTAATACTCTAAATGATAATGCAGCAGGAAAATCCCTTAATACTAATCATTAGGAAAACAACTCTACACTTGACTAACCTCCTTGCGGCCTTTGACCGTTTTCACAGATTTCATGCTTTGCGATCTTCGAAGCCCTTTGTGTGTTAACATCTCATCATCTGAATATGGCCCATCCGCTTCTTCATCTGTTTTCTCATCTCCATCTTTCAGTGGAATTTCATAACCTACACAAGTTGTCAAAAACAGTATGTTTTGGTAAAAGGATGCCAGTCAGCACTGGCTTTTCACCCCCTGTCTGTCTGAGGTTCTCTGTGTGGTTTGCATTTGCCCAGTTACTCCTCTCCCTTTCTCATCCGGAATGTGCTTCCTGCCCTTCATCATTAATCTTTGTACCTTGCACTATTCTAGATGAAGTTCATAGCTCATTTCCTCCAGGAAGTTTTCCCTGACCATTCTTATTTTTACTATGCAATTTTCAGAATAATTAAAAAACTATTTTTCAGTGAGTAACACATTCATCTTGTTAAAAAATCAAAGAATATGAAGGTACTTCAAAAAGTTCATGGAAAAATCAAATTGAAAGATAATACAAATCTTTCTCTGAACTTTTTGAAGTACTTTTGTAGATATATAGTGAAGTCTCTTCCTACCCTTTCTCCTTTTCATGAATTCTATACAAACTCATGCATTAGTGTACTTTAGTCTGTCATTTGAACCTTTGACTTTAAACTTAGAAATTAAGGTTTTTCCCCCCATGTGTCAAATCTTTTGTCAAGACTGGGAATAGTATGGTCTATTTAAAGAGTCAAAGAAGACCCAAATGGACTAGAAGTTTGGGCAAAATAAGACTACAGGGGGCAGGTGTCGGAGATGTTAGACCAACCCTGTTGCAGCTGTTCATATAAAACCCAGCCAGACGGGCTACAATATTAGAAACACCACAGGCTATGATGACAGATGTTAGTCACAGAAAATAGCCAGCATTAGGAAGGTCAGTGAGAGAACACATGGATATGCTAACAGGCTGTTATGTGTAATTATAAAGACTCACTATTGGCCCATATGAAAAATCCAGGCAGCCAGGCTGGGTATTATTAGGAAGTCTGAGAGCATCCTGAGGCTAGGAACCAGGGACAAAAACTCTTCCATTCCTGAAGCAGAAGTTCTCAAACTTTAGCCCATATTAGAGTTACCTGTAGAACTTAATTCACAGATTGCTGGGTCCCCAGAATGTCTGACTCACTAGGCCTGGGGTGCGGCTGAGAATTTGTATTTCTAACAAGTTCCCAGCTGATGCTTATGCTAATGGTCCGGGCCCACACTTAGAGAACTACTGCCTGAGGATCCTGGAGAGTTAGACGGGGGCCCATCTAAGACAACCAGAGTACTTGGTAGGGGCGAGGTTATAAAGACAGCGGCGAGGTAACAAGGCCCCATGAAATTCCAAAATTATCTTTAATTAATAAAGATAAGGGGCATAAATACTTAAATCTTCAGGTTAGGAAAAAGTAGAAGGGTTTCCAGGCTCATGAAGTGACAAGGGATGGATTCCTTACACATGAAGAAAAATACACTGAACAAATGTTTATTAGTCTGTTCTACCAGACATGAATAATTTGAGAGTCACTAAGCAAACCACAAAGAGTTGTTAATAAGCTTCTTACTCTCATAATAACATGAACAACTTTAATTGTATATTAGGCAAGTACAATTTTATGCTGCCAGACTTCTAGGATAGAAATTAGGAAGGATTTGGAAGCAGAAACAGTCATTCTTTAGGCCAGAATACTCTGTTTTCCTGCCCTGGTCCAAGGAAGTGTGTTCTGGGTAGAAGAGACAGCACTGGTAGAGGGCTAGGGCAGTGGGGGCATCACTGCTTGGAAGAACTGTAAAGCGGTCAGTGTGGCCAGAAGAGAGCATGGGGTCAGTAGTCTTCGGAAAATGCTCCTGAAGCAATATTAAGTGGAAAAGTATGTACATATAGAAAAACACAAAATAAAAACAGAAAAATGAAACTATCATATGTCATGGAAGTTGGCTTTTAGGTGATTTTAAATTCTTTCATTTTTCCTTTTTTATTATTTGCCAAATTTTTATTTAAAAATAGTATTTCTTTTATAATTAAGGAAAATAAACCAGAAAAAAAATTGACTTTAGCTTGTCATTGCTAGATTTTTTTTCTATTGCTGTTGCTTACGTAATATGCCTGATCTTAATATGGTAAAACATAGAACAAGGAATCAAGGAAAGCATCAGAAAGAAAGCAACTGTGATTGAATAGTTTGCTAAGGCCACAGATGAAGTCTAGCACTATAGTTCAACAGACATAGTCCTTGCTATTTTACTTGCCTCTCATTTTGTATAATTAGGAACTGAATTTTATTCAAAAGCTGATTATACATCTTATTCTTTCCTTCTTTCCCAATTTCAGCTAAAAACAATCTTATTAGCTTTCTAATTACAATTTCAGAAAAAGTGATGAATTGATTCGTTATTCCACAGTATTTTTTAAATTCTATTATGTATGAGGCAGTGTGCTAAATTATGGACATACAATGATGAAAAAGACACAGCTGTCTTTTTCCACCCTTAAGAAACTTACAGTCCAACAGGGGAAATAGACTCTAATAGGCATTACAATGAAAAGAAAATACCATACTAAATGCTATAAACAGAAGATAAGAACAAGGTGCTATGGGAGCATACAGAAAGAGAATGAACTCAGCCTGGTGGGGAAGGGAGTGCAGGTTACGACAGAAGACCTTGTAGGAGGTGGCAGCTAATAAGGTAAACCCTGAAAGCTCATGGGCCTATCCACTAGCACATGATGGAGTGGGAGAACAAGAAGGGGAGCTAATATACCACGCTATCCAGTCTGGACTTCATCAGGGTGCAGTGGGGGAGGGGGGTGGCGTGGACATTGAACTATTTTAAGCAGAAGCATGGTACGATTAGATTTAGGTTCTGTAAAAGATTTTTCTTGCATTTTGAAGAATGAATCACAAATGGACGAGACTGAAAGCAGGGAGTCTAAGTGGGGAAGTTATTGTAGTATGGCTGGTTAGAAATGATGGAATCCAAGGGGTGAGGACAGAGAAAGCAGCTGAATTTGGGATTTATTAAGAGGTAAATTGATAAGTTTAATTTAACAACTCTTAAAACCAATCCCTGCATCAAAGAGAGGGAAGACATTAGAGTGAAGTCAAATATTTTCATTAAAATATTTCCTTTTTAACTTAAAACCTGAATGAGTTCCTTAATTATTGTTCAAAATAAAGGATATTGTTTTATTTCTGATTTTAAGAGTAATAGATTAATTCTTAAAAAGTCACTAAAAATCTCACTACTCAGAGCTAAATGCTATTAACATTTTAGTACTACCCTTCCAGACTACTGTCTATGTATGTACATTTGTTTATTATTCACTTTTATTTTTTGATGCTGAAATCAGGATAATTAGTACATTCAACATTACACAATGTTATCATTTTTTTGTGGCCCTTTACCAATTTCTTGCTAAATCCCCCTCTCCCTCCCCTTTCCCACCTCCGCTAACCTTAGTTCTGTTCTTTCCTTTTGAAAGTTCAAATGTATATACATTTATTATTTTTTTTTCCTTTTTTTGTCTTTTTTCGTGTCCGGCAACGGATCGCAACCCTCAGTGTTGCGCCCGTACCGGACCGGGACCGGCAACGGGATCGCAACCCTCGGTGTCGCGCCCGCACCTCGCTCAGCCAGTGAGCGGGAACCGGTCTGTATGTGGGATCCGAACCCTCGGTGGCAACGGATCGCAACCCTCAGTGTTGCGCCCGTACCGGACCGGGACCGGCAACGGGATCGCAACCCTCGGTGTCGCGCCCGCACCTCGCTCAGCCAGTGAGCGGGAACCGGTCTGTATGTGGGATCCGAACCCTCGGTGGGAGCGCCACCGCACTCCCAAGCGGCGCACTGTAGCAGTGCACCACCGGGCCGGCCCAAATGTATATACATTTAAAAGATAACTTTACATATATTAATCCATTTCATCATCTACCTACTGTGTCTCTACAGTATAGAATCACAGCACACAAACCGTTTTGTTGTCCCCTCCTCCCCAGTCTAGATATGTTTTCATGTCAGTAAGTACAGATTGACATTATTATTTTTCATGGCTAATAAACCACCTTTTTGCTTAATCATTTCTCTTAGGCATTTGGTTTGTTCCAATATTTGTTATTATAAACAATAATGAGATGAACATTCTTATATATACATCTTTGAACACTTATCTGATTATTTCCTTATGACATATTCCTAGAAGTTTCTTGCTGAGTTAAAGGGAATAAATTTTGATTATTACTGCCAGATTGTCATGCAAAAGGATTATTCCATTTTAAACTCATAAAAAGTACATGAGAGTGCTTGTTTCTCAACATCCTTGCTGTGGTGGCTTAAAACATATCCACAAATTCTCTGACATTCTACTTGCCTTCCCTTAAATCTCACAGGACTTTGTACCTGCCTCAACAATTCACCACAAAAAAAAAAAAAAAAAAAGTGTTGTAAGTGATGGCAGGACTTCTGCCATCTTCTCTTGGGACACTGTCTCTGGAGCCTTCAGCTGCCAGGTAAGAAGTCCAAGTACCCTCAGAGACCACATAGAGACCACACAGAGAGATGCTGAGGATTAACCATTGTAGCCTCTGGCTGTTTGACTTTTCCCAGCTCAGACACCAGAAATGTGAGCTCCTCTTTGAGGTTATGACTCCAGCCCCTGCTGCTGTCTGATCACAGCTGCAGGAGACCCAGCAAGAACTGCTTTGCTGAGTCCAGTCACCCCCAGATCTGTGAGCAAAATAAAGGAGTGCAATTGTTTTATAACACTGTTTTGGGGTGGTCTGTTCTGCAGCAATAGGTAACTGAACAGTTACCAACACAGCACTTTTTATGAAAAAAAATTTTTTTTTGCCCATCTGGTGAGCAATAATTACCTTTATTGCTATTTTAGTTTACTATCTCTTTGACTACCCGAGGCTGAAAATTTTCATGTATTTGTCAGTTGTATTCTTCAGTAGAATTGATAAAAATAATTGGTTTGCAAGTGTTCCTGGGTTGTTTAAAATCTGAATCCTTTTTCTATAATATATAATGGAAATATTTCTGAGTTTGTCTTTTTTATGGTATGTTTTGCCCCCTATATGTAGTTTACATGTTTTTTAATCTAGAAAAATCTCAAAAACTTTTACATTATATTTTCTGATGTTTTGATGTCATGCTTAAGCATTTTTATCTGTCCTAAGAATATAAAAATATACACAGGAATTTCCTACTCATGTTTTAATTTCTTACATTTCAATCTTAATCTTCTAAGAATTTATTTTGATCTAAGGTTTGAGGCAGAGATATAACTTCATTCTCTACCCCATCTTTTAAGTCTATCAGTTACCTTAACACCACTTATTAAATAATCCACCTCTCCCCCATGAATTTTGAAAGGCCATTTTTTTTCCATTTGATGAATTTTCATGTATATCTGGACTTGTGTCTAGTTAGACTATTATCTTCTCTTCACCTATTCCATCCCTAGAACCATACTACTTTGTTGAGAGAAAGTTTTGGTTAAATTTTTTCCTTAGGGAAGACAACTTGCGACTTGGGCAAAGTAATTCATTCTAGATTTTAATTTCATAACTGGACAAGTATCTTTCTTGTATTGCTACCACTTCATATTTTTATAAATCGTTATTTTAATTTCATGGCTTGAAATTTAACCAAGAACTACGTGACATCTCAATGTCTTAACATATTTTAGTCACATCATTTTAAATTTTATAGATGCACATCATTAAAATACTGTTACAGAGGGCCGGCCCAGTGGCGCACTGCTACAGTGTGCTGCTTGGGAGCGCGGCGGCACTCCCGCCGAGGGTTCGGATCCCACATGCAGACCGGTTCCCGCTCACTGGCTGAGCGAGGTGCGGGCGCGACACCGAGGGTTGCGATCCCGTTGCCGGTCCCGGTCCGGTACGGGCGCGACACTGAGGGTTGCGATCCGTTGCCGGACACGAAAAAAGACAAAAAAAAAAATAGTGTTACAGATTTTCAAATTTATAATCCTGTTTTCATTTAGATAACTGGAATATAATTCTTAACCAATTCTAAGGTATATGAATAAACTGCTGATAAAGAACTCAGATATCTGGTCAAAATCAGCAAAATATATACAGCAGACTGTATAATCAAAATCAATATACCTAATTTTAAATACATATTAAGAAATGCCTATATTACAAACTACTTTTACATTATCAATGTATTAATAAGGCTGACAGTTCAAAGTTCAGTGGTTCCTCCCTCTTAAAGCCATTACTACCTTAATCAATGGCCAATGCTTAATGACTACTTTTAGATAACAGCCACCAACTTTGCAAAGTTATTCATTCTTGGTAGAACTTGGAAGAATGTTCATTATTTTTCCTTTTTAAGGAGGAACTGTTGTTTTATTTTTCAAATTGATTTTCAATATAAAGGATGATTTTCAATCTCCTCAAAAGAAAACTTATACTTTTAAAAAAAGATCAAATAGGCCAGTACCTTATAGACTTAACACATTACTAAGAAATGTCCTTAAGATCTTAGTTCTCAGCCTTGCCTCTAATCAAAATTTTCTTATATGTGATAAAACGACTAAGGAACTATGTCTTACTTATGTGTATGTTTCTAAGCTCATGATAGCTTATTAAAGTTTTAGAACATATCAACTATGACATGCTTACAGCTTATATTAGAATATGCCTACAGGGCTGGCTGTTTAGCTCAGCAGATTAGAACACAGTGTTATAATACCAGGTCAAAGGTTCAGATCCCTGTACTGGATAGCTGCCAAAAAATAAAAAAAATTTTAAAAAAGGAGGTCTGTCTGTAGATCTATATTTAAAAAAAAAAAAAAAGGAGGAAAGAAGAGGAAGAATATGCCTTCAAGTTAGCTCTTGGACGAGAATATGTAATTATCATATTTTCCATTGGAGTTATCCTATTTTCAAATTGAGTCTTATTTTGTCACAGCACTTACAGCCAAGAATATTTAGCTATAATTCTCTTTATATGTCACAGTTTGAGTAGAAATAGTATTGATCACAGGTCAGAACTAGTGTTGGTGGTGAGGAGGTGGTGGTAACCACACCCACAGCTTCTAAAAATTCATGGCTGGGCCGGCCCGGTGGCGCATGGCTACAGTGCGCCGCTTGGGAAGCGCGGTGGCGCTCCTGCCGAGGGTTCAGATCCCACATACAGACCGGCCCGCTCACTGGCTAAAAATTCATGGCTGGGCCGGCCCGGTGGCGCATGGCTACAGTGCGCCGCTTGGGAAGCGCGGTGGCGCTCCTGCCGAGGGTTCAGATCCCACATACAGACCGGCCCGCTCACTGGCTAAAAATTCATGGCAGCCCAAGAGGCTATGGCCTTTTTGTTAGCTGGGTGATCTCCAGGGTCAGCAAAAGGCAAGTACTATACTTATTTAGGGAAAATTTAGAGAAAAACAACTACGTTTAAATGTACAACTCAAAAATATAAGCTTAAAAGTAAATTTTGTCTGCCCAAATTCAGATAGTTACCATGTATTATTTCCATATCCATCTTGACCCAAAAGCCCAGTTATGAAAGAACCACATAGTAAAACAAACAAGCACACCTGCTGATTCACTGGGGGCTGGTTTACTTTTCTTTTTTGCTTCTGATAGAGGTTGATATGGTCTTTGTCCCACAGGCTCATCACCTTGGATAGCTGTTAAATCATGCATACTGAAACTTCTTAAACGTTCAGTTATTGCTCCTTGGCTCTATTTAACAGAGAAGTGATACATCCAAGAAAAAAAAATACTTTAAAATATTTAATATGCTTACATTTAACATCCCTGAACATTTTAGTACGATAATTTCAGAAAAGCTGAAAGACTTGTACAGCAAACACCCATATAGTGTTTATATTTTTTTACATTATTTGTTACATATCACCTATCTACCGTCTATCCATTCATCAATCCATTTTCTTTCTTAGGCATTTCAAAGTAAGTTGTAGAAATCAGTACATTTCATCCCAAACATTTCAGCATTATATTTCATTTTAGAATGTGAAAAATGTATAATGAGCTTACCCTCAGAGTAAACAGCATCCATAATTTTGCTCTTTCCTAAAACTAGCACATTGGGGGTTAAAGTTTATAATTTAGGATGACTTTTTAAAGTAAAAGAGACACTGTTTTAAAGCTAAACTATGTCAGGAATGGTAATGGCTCTACCTAGAACAAGGTAAAAAAATTTAAGAGCCAAAGAATCTTGAATATGAAATGATATTCAGTTAATGAATTCACTATCTGGCAGGACATATCTACTATTATACAATTTGACTTTAAGTCATTTTGCCTTAACAATATGGTAGACACCAGGCACAGGTGGGAATTTAAATTTAAACTAATTAAAATTAAATAAAGTTTAAAATTCAGTTCCTTAACTGCACTAGCCACATTTCAAATGCTCAACAGCTGCATGTGGCTAGTGGATACTGTATGACAGTGCAGATAAAGAACATTTCCATCACTGCAGACAGTTCAATGATTTTCATCACTGCACACTTCTGAAAAAGACATTTTCTGAACTTTTCGGATAGAACTACATTTCCCCCAAAGTATAAAGCTTTGCAAGAAGGAAAAAAAGAATATTTCTAAATTTACCCCTTTTAAATTTGCATAGCATATAGATGAGTCATTTCTTTTTTATAGCTAGATTTAAAATATTCTTCTAAAAGTTTTTTACACTTATTATTTCTTTCTTCTTTTCACACATGTGAATTTAAGTTATAAAGTTACCATAGAAACTCATCTATAATGGTTCATCTCTAAATTTCAAAGCCGAAGGTGCTACAAACGCTGGGGCATTATTGCTAACTGGTATTTTACACTCAAGAAAAAGGTCTTGATTCATAAGTCTTGATTCAGTACTCTGGGTTAGTGACACCAAATTATATCAAAACCAAATGCCATTTCCATACCACACTTGAGCTTTGTGTTTCTACTATATTTTTTGAAATGTGATAAGGAATTATTAAAGGATCTATGTACTCAATAAAAATTATATTTCACACATTTAAAAAACATTCTTGGCGTCGTTTAATTCATTATCCATGCTTTCTCCTTATCAGATAAGCATTTACTTATTAAACATACGGGCGACAGAAGACTTCAGAGACATACCACAAGGAAGTAACCAGTGCTCATCTGAAACAGATGCATTGTTTTCTCAGAACTGTCATTTTCTGTATTCCACCTTTGTATTTCTGTGCCCTCTCTTAGCAATTCTTGATTTTCACACACTTCTAAACAGATGACAAATGGCATGCACTCCCTACCTGACTCAGGTGCAATTTCCAAGGCTGGCTGTAATTCCTAACCCTCCCACTCAGGAAAGTACATTTTGCAATACAAATGAGTCAGTGTGTCATTGAATCACTCTAGCTTTATAATTATATCATCCACAAACTCTGCTACCTTTAACAAGCATGATCAACACATTTCTTAAGACATACCTCACAAATGAACTAATACACTGTTGTTATTTCCATTGTGGTGCTATGTATATTTTGCCACCAGAGCAAGATTTTAAGAAACTAGAGGAAAGGCAACAAATCTCAGGTTGCTTCTATGTATCTGGTATGGTACTAATCTCGAGCACATAATAAGTAAACTAAATACTTTTTTGTACCTCTTCTTTTTCATTACTCTTGATTGCCAAAGAGTTCTCCATAGACAGCAGCATGTTTTAATGCAAACACTGGAGTTTATAAGCAAAAGTTCAGCAGCAAACTAGAGGTATGGTCACGGGTTATGTCCATGGATAGACTGTATCATCTCCCAGGGATTTGTTTCAGGTTTAGATTAAAGGTGGGCAAGACCCAACCCTGAGGTATCTGAATGATCTAGTCATAGCCTGAATTTTAATTTAGCTCTTAAGTAACCAATCCTATTATTATCAATACCCAAGTATTAGCAATACCCTCAAGGCTTCCAGGAAGGCCAGGTACAGCAGAGAAAAACATAAAGGGAATGTGAGCCCTCTTTCAGGATCCCCAACACTTCAATAGCCATAATCACCTTGGCAAATTGGATTTTCAAGTGTATATTTTTTTATGGGCCCAGAATAGAACTAATATGGGAAGAGAGAATTTGTGCAATATTGTGAAATTCAAAAACATTATATGAATTATAAGTATCCAATGTAACCACTTTAAAGGAGAGGTGTAATATTAAAATAATCACATCTAAAAGCCAATCTATAAGGGTACTCCAAAAAATTCATGGAAAGATCATATTATCTTTCAATTCTATTATTCCATGAACTTTTTGATGCACCCCTGTATTCCCTCTAGTTTTTATGTTTTCAGCACAAAAAGTCCATTAACAAAGGAATTATATTTGCTATATAATGTTAAGTGAAAATACCTTTCCTCTACCCCGGAATTCTAAATTATAATAATATATGGTTGCAAGTATATAGTATAGTTATAAGTAGACAGGGAATAATATGCAAAAATGAAAACAATATAATGGTTAGGCAGATGGGATGGGTGAATTTTTCTATTTTTCAACAATTTCTTTAATATAAAATTAGTCACAGATTATTTGATGTTTTAGTTGTAATATCATGGTATGCTATAAGAATTTCTGATCTATTTCTCATTCATGTTTTCTGTATCCAGTCCTTTCCTCCATCATTAAAAGAAAAATGCTTTCTCTATTTTGAGGCCACAAACAGGGCATTACAGTCACTTGTCAATAACAGTGCTAAAAGATACTGAAGTTTTGTCTAAATTAATAATGCTTCATTTATCTATTTTCTTTTATTTGGTTTATACAATATTAAGCCAAAAGCATAAAAGAAAATGAGGAAAGGTTCTAGTCTGAGGCGGAATATGTGTACGGAAACAGCAGTCTTAGTCAATAAGGAGGAAGGAAGTTACCATCCACAAAGTAATTCTATACCTCAGCACTTTAGACATTATTCTCTGCAGAACTGTATGTACACTGTGTATGTTAAAATTGATCTTAAAAATCAAAGAGAAAGTAAAAGAAAGATTACAACAAGGAAGCAGAAGACTGTAGAATAACTTATATTGAAACTGATCACTATCAGAAGTGTTTCTCAACCTCCTGAACTTCAGGTGGCTCAACATTCTCAGGGTTTGGACTTGGATGGGCCCAATGTCCATTTAAGAAACTGAGAACACTGCAGGGACTGACTGGGCAGGAGGGCTGGGTCCAGAGCTAACACATTCCAACTCTAGGAAGGATTCTTCAGCTGAGAAGAACTGGCCTCATACAGAGCTCATTTAATCCAAGGGCACTGGGACAGCTGAATCTCTACACAAGTACTTGGTTGGCATCTATAAAAAAGGATTCTTCATGTATGACTAACTTTTTTCCAGTCAAATAATTCTGCCTTTGTTTATATACTTCATTTCCTAGTTAAACATTAAAATTATTATATTTTGTGTTAAATAGGGGGAATTTATTGTGCTTATCAGCACCTTTTCAAAATCTTCAACCTATTCTCTTTGCATATTTTATTACGAACTTAAAAACATATCATCAGTAATGCTTTATAATCTTACAAGCATTAAACATTCTTTTACAGAATAATTCTTGTTATATTATTCAATAATGGATAGCCATTAAGTTCTATTTCTTGTTGATTCTTGACATGTTACATTATAATTGCAGATAGGTTTAGTTCCCAGTTTTTAGGGAAATATCTTTCCCTATGGACATTCAACAATTAACCTGTTGTAGCCCAGAACAGAACCGAATGTATTCTTATTAGGTGAATAATATATTTTAGTGTTTTTAAGATTAAAGCAACATACATTCATTGAGGAACATTTGTAATATAGTGAAAAAAGTAAAAAAGGAAATAAAAATTATTTGTAACCTACCCCCAAAACTAACTATACATATTTATATGTCCTTTTAGTTTTTTCTGACTCACCATACTTTTAGAGCAGGGGTTCTCAGCCTTAACATTCGTGCTATTTCGGGCTGTATAATTTTTTGTTGTGGGGAGCTGTCCTATGCTTTGTAGGGTATTAAGCAGCATCCCTGACCTCTACCCATTAGATGCCAGTAGCAGCCCCCTGTCAGTTGTGATAACCTAAAATGTCTCTTGATGGTGGGGGTGGGAAAAGGCAAAATCACCTCCAGTGAAGAACCACTGTGTTAGAGATATGGGTTTTAGAAGTCAGGTTTTACCCCTTCATTTTACTGGTAGGAAAATTAATATTGGGAGAGGTCAATGCAGATGATTTGCCCCAAATCTCATGGCTAATTACTTGCAGAATCAGGACTAAAAACAATCCAGATTAACTCTACTGCTGTAGAATTCAATGTTCATTATACCATTTTGCTTCCCTAGATTGTAGGGAAAATAGGATAACCTTTCTTTTTCATTGTCTAGACAAATGGTCTCTTTTTAAGTGGATGTTACTAAGTAGCTAAATAGCCTCAAATCTTTTAAAAAACAGAAAGCCATTAAGACAGACAGCAAGATGTCAGGCTTTTTGACCTAATTATGATCATTTCAAGTCAATTAAATTTCAGCAATTTTACCTGTAAAACTCTAATTTCTGTGATAATTGATTTATATATATATATATATTTGCTAAAGAATTCACCCAGAAAAGGCTGCCAGAGAAAATTCAAAGAGATGGTTCGTACAAATAACAGTACTTTTCTTCATCTGTCCTTCATCTGGTAGTAGCGTTGCTCATCTGTATAAAAGCCACCTGCACTTCTCATGTGAAAAGCTATGGAATGTTGAACATCCTCAGCAAAATCCTTGAAGGTCCTTCATATGTTTGTGCTTTGCTCAGCCAAAATATACTTGTACACTGACCTTGCGAACAGATGCCTGATAATGAGGTCACATAAGTGAGACACATTTTCAGAAAATTGCTTTACAGTATAATAAATGTTCTGATTAGATTCCTATTTTCATCTTTAACACGCTCAGGTAGTTCAACCTGAGAAACTTTGGGGTGTTACCATTCTTTAAAGGTCACACCAAGAGTCCAAGAATTTTTAGCCTGAAAAATATTTTTAACAAACCATATATTGTAAAAATTTTAAATAATTCTCAAATCTTACTATTGGCTTTCATGCAGTTGTTCCTTACACTTGACCTATTTTCCTGTTTCAGTTTCAATTTACTCTTTAGTATGAAGTGTCTGGTTGAGTGTTTCTTTCATGACAATACCTTTTTTTTGACATCTCCAGAGATAAAACTAATTTTTTCTACTTTAAAATAAGCACAGTATAACCTAAGGCAAATAGTGTGAACTTATGCTGTGATCAACATATTTAATGACTATTTCTTTCTTTTTTTTTTTTTTTTCCTTTTTGTCTTTTTTCGTGTCCGGCAACGGATCGCAACCCTCTTCTCAGTGTTGCGCCCGTACCGGACCGGGACCGGCAATGGGATTGCAACCCTCGGTGCTGCGTCCGCACCTCGCTCAGCCAGTGAGCGGGAACAGGTCTGTATGTGGGATCTGAACCCTCAGCGGGAGCACCGCCACACTCCCAAGTGGCGCACTGTAGCAGTGTGCCACCGGGCCGGCCCTTTAATGACTATTTCTAATGAGCAGAACAGATTCCAGGATGGAGTCTCCAACATTCCTGTACTTGTGATGAGAATGGCAAAGGTTACCTCATATACAGGGATCTTGTCACAAACAAGTGGGGACAGTTCCAAAATGAATTTCAGTTATGGAAAACCATTATTTGGTTACTGAGAAAGTCACACTCAGCATTTTCTGGACCTCAAGCCTGTTTTCTTTCCATATACTACACACCAAAATCAATTATGCTAGGGTATTTAAAATAAACCACACCAATTACAACATGCAAAGAAATCCAAAAGCCATAATGCAAAATTTTCACAGAAGGCATTCATTTGATAACTTGGCTTGCAAACACAACAAATGACATTAGTAATTGGCTAAGTAAAATCTCAAGTTTTAAGAACAGAATTTTTTCATGCCTTATTTTGAATAATCAGTTACCTCAAATTGGTTGAAGGAGAGGTGCAGAAGTTAGCCAGAAATCCTACCAAGATATTGCCATCGAGAGAGAAAGAGAGAAAACACCAAAGACAGAGAAAGAAAGAATGGTCATCTTTACTTAAGGTGATTTATTCAAACTATTTTAAGGTTACAAAGTGGGAAAATTATGACAAAATGACATTTTCAGGTGTGTTTTATTTATTAACTACCTCTCATTTCGTAATCAATGAAATTTCAAAATATTGAGTATAGAAAACATAATGCCTTTAAAATTATCTATCTGTTCTTTCCAGTATTAGTGAAATAAACATAATGCAAAATTCTACCACAATTTTATAATGAACCAAAATAAAAAGCCATCTTACTTTATTTGATTTAATGTGACATTGTATTAAAAAAAAAGGCAAATGAAAAATTACCTTCACTGCTGCAGTGACAGCAGCAGTAGCTGCTAAGTTTAAACCTTGCCGTCCAAAGTTTACCATAGTCTCATATCCCCGTTCCTTTGCTTGTACAATATAATCATCAATCTCCTGGGGGGAATAAAACACAGATGTTGATTTTATTTAAAAATAGTGTAAGAAGCCAAAAACTGAGAGTTTAAGCCCATGATACAATAGTTTCACTGATTTTATACCATAAAGCATGTGATCATGTACATTTAAAAAAAATTATTTGTGAAAATAATTTATATATCTTACCCTTTCCTTTGAAGAAAGAAGGGGATGAAGGAATTTTCTATATATTAAACTTGCTCCTTTGGTATAGGGAGAGAGCAGCCATATGACAAAAGCAATCTTCAGCTCATAGTACAAGGGAAACCTAACAAGAAAGTTTTTTAAAATCAGCAGGTAAAAAATAAACTAAAAACAGTATAGAATTCATAAAAACACTTTTTAAAAGTTTAGTTATTGTGTTAAATTTTCACATGTAAAAGTCAGTGATCAGGGAAACAACCATGTCTGAATTGACAAACTGATCTTGTTTAACTCTGCTGTAGATTAGTTAACAGAAGAGCGACCTGATCCCCATAGAGATTCACACCTTCTAGTACAAAATTCTTCCTCTGAAGCAAGCACAGGAAAGCTGCCACACTGACTGCAGCAGTTAAGAGTAGGTATTAATAGTACTTGTCCATGGCAGTAAGGTGCACCTACCTACCCTGTCTGTAGAGCCAAACTGCCATGGAAGTACATGACATAACTAAAAGTATCAGGGGACAACTTTATATGTTCCAAGTGCACAACATTTACCCCATGCACACATGTCTTTATCTTTCCCAGAACTCCTAGAAAACTTTCCCTCCAATCCCATTTGGCCAAAATTGCAACGCTCTGTAGACCTAAATCATTCACTTGCAAAGGGAATGGAATTAACCATTGTTGTAGACTGGGAATCAGTGTTATATACTCATGCCCTTTTCCATGTGACTGTGCAGTGCCTTCTCTGTAGGCCACATACACCTCCCTGACTAATGACTATGGGTTTAGCCATGGGATTGGCGCTGGTGAATAGAATGTGAATGTGACATATGTCACATGCAAGCAGAAGCTTTGACTTCCTCACCCCGACGCCCTCAACCTCTTGCTTTAAGCTTTGCCTTCTGCCATGGGAACAGCTGCTTCTTCAGCCTTGATCCTGAAATGACAAGCTGCTTAAAACTGTGCTGAGCCCAGGACGAAAACTGCGGCTGACTATTTGCCCTCATGAGGCTTGAGCAGAAACAAAGGTTTGTTTTTCTAACCCACTGTGCTTTTAGGGTTGTTTATTGCGACAGTAAAAGTTAGCTAATGTATTATGAGGAGACCAGTATCTTGTGGTCCATGAGGCGATAAGATATATGATAACTGAGCAAATTTGGGTTCTTCTGGCAAGACAGGTAGGTAGGGGGCAGTGAGGAATGAATATTGTGTAGTCAACACAGGGTCTCTTGAACAGAGCAATTACAGAAGAGTTTCTGGACTTCATGGTTAATTTAAAATTTTTTTACATCACTCATTTTTAATAACACATATAAGCTACCTTTGCAATCAGAAAAAAGACAAAGTTTTTCTAAAAGGTACTTTGAAACTTAGACCTAGCATTGTTCAGAATTTGTGTTCTGTCCCTAAAAAACAAACAGACAGACGGAAAACTCTCCCCCAAACCTTTATACCAAAAACATAACAGGTAAATGAATGAATTTGGGGCAGAGAAAGGAAAACTTTTATTTCAACTCAGAAGAAAAAGATAGGTGCAGATACAGAGAAGTTCTGCAGGTTGCTAACAATATTTTAGTCTGATGACTTCTATTTTTTTGTAGCAAACCAATATGACCTAATGTGCTATGAGAATAGGAGAATAGCAAAGCAGGAAAGTTTAAGGAGAGAACAATAAAGGTTTGAAATAGACACAGGCAGGAATGGAAGTAGAAACTGACCAGAAGCAAGTAAAAGGAATGTCGAGGTTCAAATTGAAAACTGTATGAGAAGCTGATTGATTTTTCTGTCTGCATCGAGTAGCCCAGGTAAAGATGTAAAGAAGAGTGATTGTTGGACTAATTTAGGCCTAAAGTTTGTGCAGCAAAGGCAGCTGAAAATAGCAGCAAGGTACTAAGTTTAAACATTTCGAAAGGAAGACTTGCCAAGTGATAGCAAGGTTTAGGTTGAAATGCACTACTGAAACAGAGCCCAAGGAGATTCAAGTTATTTCATTTAGTATTGCTCCTCAGCAAAATGTAAAATCCTTGAGGATATAAACATGCTTTAATTTTACCTCATGCTATTTGGAATAGGGCAGCAAAGGATCTGGTGTTGAGTGGGTGTCTATGTGGGTGTTGATACTGTCCAGTTTGAATGTTTGCAGATGAGTTTTTAAGGCTGAGGAAGGAGTGCTAAAATCAGATGCTGTGGGCTTCAAAAGAGGAGTCGTTTAGGAAGTGATAGAGAAAAATAGTCTGAAGTCATCAGTGTAGAAAAAGAATGATGACAACCAAGCTTCTCTTCTCCAAGATACTGGGGGGAGGTGAGTGGAGGGAGGGCACAGGATGCACCTGGGGAAAAGAATGAACTGCCTTTACTTCAGGGGGGCTGTAAGGAAAGCAATGTTCTTATGGGGAAAGCAGATGAAGAAAATGAGACGATGGATAATTAGGAAACTTGATCAAATTCACTTAGTTCATAGCAGAGCAGGATAAGAACACAGGACACCTGATAATGAGTCTATAGTCTGGCCTCTTCTCAACAAGAGAACTTACCAAGCAACTGTTTGATCTGTTACTGTTTCAATGACAGTATAGAGAGCAAAAACAATCCAGTACATCATCCACCGAACCTGGAAATAATAAAAATACTAGTGAAACAGTAGACTACAATTATTTGCAACTCTGAATAACTTTAAATGTGTGTGTGTATATTTATATGTGAAATGAGGGTACTTCAAAAAGTTCGTGGAAAAACAGAATTAAAAGATACTATAAATCTTTCTATGAACTTTTCGAAGTACCCTTGCGCACGGGTGTGCGCACCTGCATGTGTGTTTGTGTGTACTTCTAGATATACAGGATGTTGGGTCAAATGCAGAAGGAGATGGTTTAGTTTTCAAAAGGTATTATGTTTGAGTTTTTTACATCACTACATCAACAGTCTTGGGATACAAGAATCAAAGAATAACAAATCTCTGGGGTCTGATACAAAAAACTGGAAAAACAGGAAATATTTTTCTTAACTGGAGTAAAGTTCTTTAAAATATGTTACCTGTACGCTTCTTTATGAAGTCTACTGCTATCTAATTACATAAGTAACATAGTATATAATATGATATAACCACATTCAATCTTTACTAGCCTTTAAAATGTTGCATTTCTTATTTTTCAATTATAGAAAATGTTCAGAAAAATGCTTGCTTTGGTATTTCATAGACAATATAAGACTATAACTCAAGTAGTTTTTATAGTTTTCTATTTACATGGACAAACCAATTAAAAATAACCATGAATAACTTTTGAAGCAATTGTACTGCGAGATATGAATAATACTAATTTGCCGTAATTTATAAAGAATACTAAAAGCTTAAAAAATTGCCTAAAGTAAATATAGGGTCCATTATCTATATCTGAAATACAAACAAATTGATTTACAAAATTATCATCTCAAATTAAAAAAAAAAAAAAGACCAAATGTTCTCTTTAGTTTTTCCACTTCTCATTTTGACTCTCTCACTACTATCAACTCAAAGCTTTTGTCCAAGTGTGGGGATTTTCTTCCTGGTCTAAAATCCTGTGTGTCTTTTTATGTTGTCTCTTCTTCCCTCCCACCCCAGACCCACCCTTTTAAAAAAGGGAGTGATGCTCTCATGGGACTTCATTCACTTAGCCTTTCCAAATCCAAACACTAATTTATTACTTTTACCTCTCAACTGTATTCACAAGGTTATCTTTTACCCTGATTGACTCCTCCCCAAGAAAAGAAATGAAGGGAAGATGATGGCAATCAGAACAATGTGTTTTTATAGAGCTAGAAGGGATCGTGGAGGTGATCAAATTTTTTAAATCTAAACAATCCTTTACTGAAAAAAACTGTAAAAACATTACAAAAGAAACTGTTCTAGCTGGGTCTCCCATTCAACCTACCCTAGGACTCTTGGGGAGATTCCAAGAAAACCTAGCACTCCATGGGGTAGGGGTTGAAAACAAATAATATGGTGAATTTCCCTCATTTTACTGAGGGCCAAAATAAATAAGATGCTCAAGGTCACCAAGCTAGGAAATGGCTGGAGGAGGCACAGACCACCTTAAAATCTGCACGAGGCAGCTTTTTAAACAAGTGGCTGCCACAGACCAATCTTTCCAGTTCTCTAGGATTTCCTGGATCTCTCCCTCTCCTGTACTCAGCACAGAGATTTCAGTGTAAAAATAATCACGTTCTTTCCCAGGAAAGTGGAGGCTTAAACTAAATTTGCCTCTCCCCAAAGAAAGTTTAGGAAACTCTCAGAAAAAAGTATTTAACTCAATACTTGTTATTTTTCATTATTTCACATTTTTCATTTTTTCCCAACCTCCAAAGGGATGACAAGTATAAGAAATACTCCACAAATACTTATAATTTATCTATTAGTAGGGATGAGTAGAGGTAAAATGGACTATACAGATATTAACTGTTTGCTGATATTCACTGAATGACTAATTGTTGAAAGGATTAGAAATGCTGCACATCCCCAAAATTTCAAAAGTACCCTTGCTTCAGTTAAGTGCTCGTTCAGTTTTCAAATGAAGCCATCGAATTAATTTTAAAACTCACAAAATAAGTTCTTTAAAATATATAATTTTACCTCTAAGAAACAAAATATACATCTGTTTACGTTGTGAGAATATTGAGTAATGTCAAAAATAAAAAAAGGAGAAAAAAAAAAAGAAGTCTTTGCCTTTTTAGTTAAAAAACCACCACCACCACCACAAAATAACAAACGATCCAATCAAAAGGGAATTTCTGGACATTTTCCTGTTTGACAATTTGCTCTCTTGAACTTATCAATTTTTTGTTCTCCTTATCAGAAATACGAACTGTATACATAGTTGAATCCAGGCAATAATTAAATGACTTCAATGAGCATGTGTTATTCATGGGAGCAACCACAAAGAAAGTTAACCTTGAAAATACATTGCTTTCGTTTTTCCATTAATGGATTTGATTGGGATTTCACACCAAATGATTACTCAGCAGAGCTTTTATTAAAGCTATACCTCAAGGCCACTCAGCCTACTGTTTTGGCCCAAGGTACTAACAGAGAGAAGTCAAGGAAAAAAAAAAAAAAGGAGTAAGTCACAATTATAATTAAACATATGTGAAGATAAAGATACAGAATATATTTAGATCAGTCAAAAACATCAATAACAAATGCAATATTAATACCAAAATTGGTAGGAAAACAATTACAATGACAATCTTATAAATGTATATAACCAGATAAAACAGAAATAACTGTTATTAAAATATGTTAAGCAAATAAAAGCCAATAATTTAACAGGTGATTTTAACAAATCACAATCCACCATTTAAGTTACTGGGAAAAAAGGTTACTAGCATCATATTTATTGGTACAAATTTATGTTTTGGGGAAAGTGGGAATAGTATTTATTTCCAGTTCAGAAAAAATTGGTAAAATCAACAAATCTTTTTGATATCTTCATGAGAACAATGAAAGCTGTACTCAACTTTTTCTTTTTTTTTCCTTTTTGTCTTTTTTCGTGTCCGGCAACGGATTGCAACCCTCAGTGTCGCGCCCGTACCGGACCGGGACCGGCAACGGGATCGCAACCCTCAGTGTCGTACCCGCACCTCGCTCAGCCAGTGAGCGGGAACTGGTCTGTATGTGGGATCCGAACCCTCAGTGGGAGCGCCGCCGCGCTCCCAAGCGGCGCACTGTAGCAATGCGCCACCAGGCCGGCCCTGTACTCAACTTTTTCTTAAAAGTCTCTGTGACTCTCTTCAGTGTATAAACCCCAATCCCAGTGGTAAATATTTTCAATACATATGACAGTTCATTTTCAGAAAGAGGGTTTGTGTTATAGGAGGAGGCTCAGGAAGAAATGCCTGAATACTCTGTAACTACTTCTATGTAGTCTAGTCCATGACCATAAAAAAGCCGTGAGAGAGAGAAAAAAGTCTCTTTGATCCTGGAGAACTGAATTTTCCAAGGTGAAGCTTACACCTATAAGCTCTAAGATGGGACACAAACGTACACCCACACCCCCATACCGACACTATCCTTTTTTTTTTTTGTCCTTTTTGAGACCTGCCGCACCGCGCTCAGCCAGTGAGTGCTGTGAGCGCACCGGCCAGCCCTATATAGGATCCTAACCCACGGCGGGAGCGCTGCTGCGCTCCCAGCACTGCACTCTCCCGAGTGTGCTACAGGCTCGGCCCCCAACACTATCCTTTTGATTAATCTTTCATATCAAACATAATTTAGTCAATTCTTAAGGACTCAGGAGGCATCATTAAAATGACTCATTGATACAATTGCAGCAAACCCTACCTACTTCATATCAAGGGACTAGAAACATAAATATTGCGTCTGTCTTCAAGAATTTAACATTTTATCAGGGAGAAAAACAAATAAATAACTATGATAAAAAACGTTCTGTTGTTTTTACTACACTAGATGCCCTAGCTCCCAGTATGAGTCATGAGCCAAACACTTCGAGGAAAGCTTACTAAAGGAATTATTTATAAAGTTGTGGGCAAGGTTCAGGAAAACCAATAAAGGATAGTAGTGTACCCCCGAGCTAGCAACAGCAGGAACTGGCGTTATGCCTAGGTGTGTAGGATGGAGGGGAGAGAAAGGTTTCTCGGAACCCAGAGAGGGTAAGTGTAGATGAAAGCTAAGTGGGCCTCAGGTAAAAAGTCACAGCCAATCCCTGGTGGCAGGAAGGGAGCTGGGAGAACAAATACCTGGAGTACCCCACACTCCTCTGTCTTCTGATCTGCACGGGCCTCTCATGGGCAACCCAAAGGGAGGCCAGAGATGATCTAGTCTGTATAGATCAGCCTCCTGGGCCATAAGCAAGGAAGAGGAGTGTGGAGAGTAGAGGGGCAATTCCACTGGAGGGGCAAATGGAAGGTCCAGCACTACTAACCCTGTCACCTCTTTGAAACCTACCTAGAAGTGAAGTCATTTCTCACCACTTCCAGAGATACCTTCCTAGACCAGATGGCCATCATCTCCTGTCTGGATTATTTTGATAGTATCCTAACTGATCTCTGCTTTTTTGAGTCTATTCTGCACACAACAGTCAGAGTGTTTCCTTAAAACAGAAGCCAAATCATGTTATTGCTCTGCTTAAACCCCTCTGATGGTTCCCCATTAAAATTCTTACCATGGCCTAAAAGGTTCTATGTATCTGGCCCCATTACCTCTCTAGCCTCATCTAATATGACACCACCTTTCCCCATTCTGCTCCAGCCACATCAGTCCTTTTACTGTCCCTTGCATGTGCTCATGTGCTCCTGCCTCAGGGCCTTTGTACCCTGTTTCGAATATCAATATCCTCTTAACTCCCTTATCCTGCTTTATTATTTTTTTAAGCACATATTACATAACATAGACACAACTAACAAATATTTACTCCCCCCCCATCTTTCCCTACTAGAATGTAAACTCTGAGAGCACAAAGACTCTTATTTTGCTCACTGCTGAATCCCCTGTTCCTGGCACAGAAGGTGCTCAATAAATGCATGTTGATGAACTGTTGAATGAATTTGGGGCTGCACATAGCTTAGTGTGCTCCTTTTTGTAAGGACTTCAAAAGGCTGGAAAGTAGATAGGAGGTAAAG